CAGTCCAGTGCTGATCTACAGCACCACACCAGGATTCCTGGTTATGTCTTTTGACTCCATTAGTTTCAAAAGTCAAGTATTACTTCATCTTATTTCTAGCATATTTCTCTTTTGTGTTCTGGAATTTAGTGCATTATTGTGAGTCTGTTGCATTTAGGTTGTCAACTTAACTGGAGTCCCAATAAAACTTGGTTGTGACACATTTCCAAATTCTCTGTGGGAACTCTGAAAATACTACTTGATGATAGGACAGTTTAACCTAAGATCTAGCTCATTGTTCTTTCGTTAGATTGATTTTTCAGTATCAACGTTGTTCTCCAAAAATAGGAAAGGAAGGTGAAATGATCATTAAGGTTAATTCACTGCTGGTGTCTGTTTTGCAGCTTGCATCAGACAGCACCTTCTCTAAGTATTTTCTCATCACAAAGCTCATTGGTGATATCATAGCTGACTCTGGACAGGAAATTAGCTGGTATTGGGTTATTGACATGATGGATAATTCAACTCACAAAAGTGGGCTTTCCTGCATCAAGTAGCTTTTCTTTCATTCCATAAACAGCCATCATTTAAAAACAGGTAGGACAGGTCCCATGAAGGTACACACAAGCTACATGGGCTAGTTCGTGCAAGCACCCATGTAGACAGAGTTAGACACAAAGAACTCTGTGAGTTATGTGGGTTATGAGTCCCATTCACTGCACTGTTAAACAGTTAAACAAAAATAATAACATCGCAGAACAAACTCCTTCTTATTTTCTAAGTAGACTGTGATTTTCAATTTGTGTCAAGAGAGTAATAGGAAATAATGTTAAAAAATTCTTTGAAACTCTACAAATTACTTTTCGTATACTTCAATACCCACAAACCAAACCCAGTGTCACTGAGTCAGTTATGACTCAGTGACCTCATTTAGGGTTTTTGAGACTGGAAATCTTTATAGGAGCAGAAAGCCTCATCTTTCTCCCACGGAGTGATTGGCAGGTTTGAACTACAGACCCTGCATTAGGAGCCCAATGCCTAATCTATA